TTGTGGCTAGTGAGATTGAACAACTGAATTTTCATATTTATTTAAATGACATTAAGATTTCAGACCTAGTATGGTGCCGTAGGATAAGCACTGGACTGGTATTGATGAAGTCTAAAGAAAATGTCTCGCCAGGTGTGCCCCTAAATGGTTGTGATGTGCTATGGAGTCGGTTCTGACTCACAGCAACCATGTACATGGGTTTCTGAGGCTGTAAATCTTTACAGGAACAGAAAGCCTCATCTTTCTCCTGTGGAACAGCTGGTAGTTTAGAACTGCTGACCTTAAGGTTTGCAGCCCGATTCGTAACCAGAGCTCCTTGCTAAATGAGATAAATCATTTGATCTGGCCCTGCCAAGAGAATCACAGGTGGAACTCGAAATTCAGTAAATCTAGAAGCTTTTTTTCATAGTAATAAATTTATATTAAGTGAATAATAAGAGTAACGTAAATTTGAAGGGACAAACCAGGAACGCCCATTACGGGCTCGACAGGGTACTTATGAGTACATGATGGGACAGACACGTATACTTCTTGTCGGCTGCCTGCGGTCTGTCTGACTGTATTGTGGTGACTCCGAGGACAGTCAGTGGCAGGCAGGCTGGGAGTGTACGTTGTGACAGTGTGGTGTAACACAGTGGTGAAACCATAGCGATCCGGCAATGATGAAATGCAATGAGATGATTCCTCGTGACATTGATGACCTTGCCTCACGTTGATTGATAACTATGTTGCCAACATCTTTGTTGCCACAGATGATAACTCCAATATAATCTCTCCACACATCCATAATCAACAATCCTCACAAAAACCGAACCTCAGATGAAGATTAAGGAAATTACAGTTCACAGAAATGACCTCAGGAGTCAATGATATGAATGTTGGATATGTTCTAAATCCAAGATACAGGATTAGAACAGCAATCAAAGCAAAATAATTACGTCACTGGTGACACACACACCGGATAGTTATTAAACCTTAAGTGATGTGATAGTCTACAAATGGCTACTACGAAGAAAAGAAAATTTGATGCAGACTGTTGATCTTTCCAAGAGAAATGGACAAATGATTACTTTTTGTTGAACTGAAAGACAAACCTGTGTGCCTGGTTTGTAGTAATGTATTGACAGTAATGAAAAAATCAATTTGGAGTATCATTACAGCTCAAAACATACTAAGCTTAATGAATTGGGTGGCCAAATGTGTCTGGATAAAACTAATGCTCTCTCACCATGAAGTGAGATTTTTCTTCAGAAGGTGCTGGATAAATGTACGAGAACGTTGTAATGTGGGAGTTTGAATGGAAGATATTGGCAAACCTTGTAAATGTAAAAATCAAAGTTAGTTCCATTTTTCTACAACATTGACCACAATCAATGACTCTTGTTGTTGTTAAGTGCCGTTGAGTCAGTTCCAACTCATAGAGACCCTCTCTAGGGTTTCCAAGGAGCGGTTGGTAAGTTTGAACCACAATCTTAGGGCTCAAATCGACTGCACTTATCCAAAATTAGTACTAATCTAAAAAAATAAACATTCTCTTTGGAAGTAGCTGTTGTCGACAGATTGAGTCAGTTAATCAGTTCTAGGGATTAACTCAGTTTGCGTAAGACAGTGAGATACATCTTTGATACGGGGAACAAAAAGTTTAAAAATACTGTGTGTCAAATTTTAGAGAACTACAACACTGATTCACCACAAATATATTCTGTAAGCACACATAATGGCTCTATCTACTATTATTAAATTTTCTCAGAAATGATAGTGAAATTGAATGGCAAACACAAGTCAGGGTAAAGGAGGGACAGTTTTGAAGGCTGCCTTAATGCTCTTTGGCTTACAGACAAACCATAGCAGACTGTGGTGAACTCAGCAAGGTTTATAAGATAACATTGACTGGTACAGAACGTATGTACACACACTTCAATCACTTGTTAGAAATGCAATAAAGAGTTCTGAACTAGAAGAATTTTTAGGAGAATGTCATGGATTCATTCGAATATTTCATATTCCAACATTTTCTATCAGATTTTCAGAACACAATATAAGGAAACCTGAATTGGATTGCCAAAACAACATTTACACTGACTTAGAAACCTCACTAGGATGCAAAAATCTCCAAATTTGTATTAACTGAGAATAATATGAAATAATATTTTTTCTAATGACAAAAAGAAATAGTCGGTGTTCAATCATTTCAAGAGGTAGCATATGATTAAGAGAGCCAATGATCTTGAAGGAAGTAGTCCAAGTTGCACTGAAGACATTGGCAAAGAGCAAGGCACCAGGAATTGATGGAATACAAATTGAAATCTTTCAGCAAACTGATGCAGCACTGGAGGCACTACTCACCTATGCCAAGAAATTTGGAAGACAGCTAGCTGGCCAACTGATTGGAAGAGATCCATATTTGTGCCTATTCCAAAGAGAGGCAACCCATGGAATGTGGAAATCATCAGATAATATCAATATCACATGCAAGTAAAAATTTTCTAAAGATTATACAAAAACAGCTGCAACCACACATTGACCGAGAATTTTCAGAAGTTCAAGCCAGATTCAGAAGAAGATGTGAATGAGGGATATGGATCTTGGCTGAAAGCAGAGAATACCTGTGCCTAATTGACTATGCAAAGGCTTTTGATTGTGTGGATCATGACAAGCTGTAGACAACATTGAGAAGAATGAGTATTCTAGAACACTTAATTGTGCTCATGAGGAACCTGTACATAGACCAAGAAGCAGATGTTCACAACGAACGTTGGAACACCGAATGGTTTAAAATCACGAAAGGTGTGTGCCAGAGATGTATTCTTATACCATGCTTATTCAATCTGTATGCTGAGGAAATGATTCGAGAAGCTGAATTAGATGAAGAAAAATGCATCGGGATTGGAAGAAGACTCATTAACAACCTACAATATGCAAATGATACAACCTTGGTTGCTGAAAGTGAAGTGGACTTAAATGCTTACTGATAAAGATCAAAGACCATAGACTTCAGTATGGGTTGCACCTCAATGTAAAGAAAACAAAAATTCTCAGGACCAATAAACAACATCCATTTAATGGAGAAAAGATTGAAGTCGTCAAAGGCTTCATTTTGCTCCCATCAACCATCAATACTCATGGAAGCAGCAGTCAAGAAATCAAATGACGTATTGCATTGGGCAGATCTGCTGCACAAGACCTCTTTAAAGTGTTGAAGAGCAAAGATGTCAGCTTGAGGACTCATGTGTCCCTGATCCAACCTATGGTATTTTCAGTAGCCTCATGTGCATGTGAAAGCTGGACAGTGAATAAGGAAGACCGTGGATGAATTGATACATTTGAGTTATGATGATAGAGGAGAATATTAAAAATACCATGAACTGCTGAAAGAACAAATTAATCTGTATTGCAACAAATACAGACAATGCTCATTAGAAATTAGGATGGCCAGTTTTCTTTCATACTTCGGACATGCTATCAGGAGGGACCAGTCCTTGGAGAAGTAATCACATTTGGTAAAGTGGAGGGTTGGAGAAAGAGAGGAAGATCCCCAACGAGATGGATCAGTACAATGGCAGCAGCAATGGACTCAAACGTAGCAACAATTGTGAGCTTAGCACAGTACCTGGCAGTGTTTCATTCTGTTGTGCAGAGGGTCTCTATGAGTCATACAGAATGGATGACACCTAACAACAACAGGGAATAGAGCTTCACTGATGTTGGTAGAAAGGGGTAGTGCTAATGCTTACACAATTTGAAGAATGTAAATAGTGTCACTGAATTGTACGTGGAGAATTTGTTGAAATGGTATAGCCTATATTTCATGGTAACATGCTGTGTATTATTATAGAAATTAATTTTTTAAAAAAACCTGAACCTCAAGGTCTTCAGAGTTTTCATATACCCACAGGAAAATTACTTCCCTTCCAGGGCACCTCACTCTCACTTCTTTGATTGTCCCTGTGAAACTTTATATTTCCATTGCCAGCTCAGTGACTTAGTTTGAAATATTAACAAAATCATGCATTTAGCATTTGTAGTTGTTTACACAGGAAGAGTTGTATGTCATGCTGCCCACAGTGTAATTCACTATATTTCTTTTTTATTGTTTTTGTTTTCAATGATTTTAACTTTATAAAAGCAGGGGCATATACTGGGCTCTTGTTTTTCCTAAGAAAGTAATCAGACATGTATAACAGTAAATCTGTGTCTCTACAGATAGACTTACCCACATGTATATCTGCATAGAAATGGGTCCAGCAGGTATTCATTGCGATGGGTTCTGAGTGAGTGGTTTTTGTTAATTGCTTGGTTTTATTTTCCATAATGAGTATATATTGCTTTTGTAGTAAGATAAAACAATAAAATTCTTAGGGAAAAAGTATATTATGGATAAAAATATATTTGAGTCAACAGCATACAGACTATCAACAGATAGGTTCTACATCTCTTGCAGGTCTTGATTTACTTGATCTGCAAGACATTTTTTGGGTGTTTTGGGTCAAATAATTTTCTGGACAAGTAAGCACCAAATTCTACTTCCTTCCAGCCATTTTAATAGGCTCTCTCTTATATACTGGAGCTCGTGTGGTGCTGCGGGTTAATGCACTGGACTGCAAGGTCAGTTTGAACCACAAGGTTGGCAATTCAAGCTCACCAGCCACTCCTTGGAAACTATAGAGGGTTCCTATGAGTCAGAACTGACTCAACGGCACTTAACAGTAACAACTCTTGTATACCGGCTGCTCTGAGTTGGAATCTCCACGATGGCAGTGGGCTTGGTTTTGATCATTGATACGGCACATTTCCCACCTTGTTCGCATGTTTGCTCTGATGGGCTATATGGCCCTGCATTCTGTCTACATTAAGAACTTACAATATGTTTACAGTAGTGATTTTCTTCTATTGTACCCTCACACTATGGTAGATTTTCTGAAAGTTTCTTAACTTGGCCTCTTAATAGAGAAGTCAGAATTGACATAATGCATATTTTAAAAATATTTTATTCTTTTTAGGATAAGGAGCATCCAAGATACCTGATCCCAGAGCTCTGCAAACAGTTTTACCATTTGGGCTGGGTCACTGGGACTGGAGGAGGAATTAGCTTGAAGCATGGGTGAGTTTCCAACTGACTTCAGTTTGGGGAATTCCTCCATTTGAGTAGACCGTGGGAGCCTGACTTGTATGAGGGCTCTTCACAAAATTTATGGAAAATGGGATTAGATAATGAATAGTTTCCACAAACATTTTGAAGCCCCCTTGTTTTTTGTCCCAAGAATAACTGATCAGTTTTATGTGATACTCAAGGTATGGAATTTCCTTAAAGAGTAATGAATATTTGCATAACTGAATGAGACAATTATGCATTAGTTGCAGATACAATAGACACCCAAGGATTTCAGAATTACTATTTCTAACCAGAATAATCCCGTCTTCAGTCTTTAGAGTATCAAAGTTAAGTTAAGTGCCATGAAGTCGGTTCCAACTCATAGCGACCCCTGAATAGGGTTTCTTAGGAGCAACTGACCTTGTGGTTCACAGTCCAGTGCCGATCCGATAATGCCACACCAGGAATTAAGTACCATGCTGTCAAGTATGTTCATATGTCTGCAATGACATAAAGGTTTCCCTTCTAAGAAAACCAACTTTGTTTTGAAGGTCAAGATAAATATTTAAAAGTCACTTAAGTATAGATTTGTTGTTAATTACTGTCCAGTGAATTCCAATTCATGGCAAGCCCATGTGTGCAGAGTAGAATTGCTCCACAGGGTTTTCAAGGCTGTGACCCTTTGGAAGCAGATTGCCAGACCTGTCTTCCAAGGAGCCTCTGGGTGGGTTCAAACCAGGAACCTTTCAGCTAGTAGTTGAGTCCTGACCCATTTATACCACCTAGGGACTCCTAAATATAGATTACTGGCCGTTAAAGAATCCTAAAAATTATGTTTTATTGAGTCCACAGAAAGGCAATCTGCCCTTCTAAGCACATGTGTCACTATTAACAGACAGAGCAGCTGGTGGTCTGTCGTTCTGTGGAGACAAAAGGAGAAACTGGACTTCAGTCATAACAGAAGGAATGACTAGCATTCACATGTTCATTAGATTTTAATCAGTGTCTTCCAAAAGGCTGAAGAAATAAGGAACATAAAAAAACATTGGCATACTAATAAAGGTTGTGAAGTCTTATTCTTTTAAGAGTTTCTGGAATAGGATTAATGTTTCTCCTCCTGAAATATTTTAGTAATATGATTGTTTAGAGGCTGAGTATTAAACTGAGTGACTGCTGATTTATTTCTTTCATCCTGATTTACTTTCTTTCACGAAATTGGCTTACTAAAATATTTATATGCTACTGAGTATATATGAGCATGCCCCCAAGGAAGCTGCATTTGTATGGTAAGGACTGAAATGTGTAGTCAGAACACTTTGAACAAAAGGGATTTTATGGCAGGCCACCAGATGATGCCAGCAGCATTTCAGCTCCTTTCAACTGCCAAGTATCTCAGGCATTACTAATTGAACAGCGGGAAAGGGCGGGGGTGGGGAGTAGGGTGGGGGGTGTGCACTCAACAACTAGCATAGTTACTGATGAAGGGATGGGCTCAGTCTAGTAAGGTCCTGTCTGTCCCACGTGATGCGTCTGTGAGCCCAGGCCTGCCCCCTGTCTCACCATCCTCCTCCTGCTGCTGTGTGGCTTCAACATTGTGCAGGCTTTCAGGTCATTTTGCCAAACTTTCTAGTTGGCCTGCATGCAGCAGAGCCCCACACTATGGTAAGGATATCTGTTGTTATAGCTGCTGCTGCCATTTCATAGGCCTGTTTAGAAGCTGAATGCCAGTAATTCTAAGTGATCTGATTTCCCCAAAGTGTTATTTGTATCAAATCATGTCTTAAAATGCTGCTTTGAGTTAACTGCTTTTTATTTTCATGTGCCAAAATAGTTTGCTTGTGTACAAAATAGAGCTTTCTATGAAACTGAACTAAAATAAAACCATTTTACCTGGCTCTGGGGTGGGGGGCAGGGACGACCAAAATACTAACACAATAAAAAAATCGAAGAATTTTTTTCTTGGTCACTGAAATCTAAAGAGGGACTTTTTCTTCGTCAAAAAAAGATATAAAGGACTATGTCTTTTCTAGCAGAAATGTACAAATCCATGCATGGTGATTGTGTGTGGGTACCATAAACCACTCACTGGGGCATCTTTCCCAATTAAATGACTTTTATAGCATTCAAATCAATTTATAGGAAAATTGTATCATACGATAAAATACTTCTTCCAGAGCCAGACTCAAAGTGGGTGAGGAGCGCTTCCTGGAGGTTACCAGTAGAAAGAACCAGTTCTCTGGAGCTGCAATTGGGATCCCCCCAACTTTGTGCTTTATAGAGCGAAATGGGCATTTTAGGTAGAATGTTGACTTTTTCTCCTAATACATAAGTAACTTAATAAGCCCCAATGACTAATATCAGTAATATTATTCTGAAATTGTTAGTGGAAGTTTGTTTTTCTTTGTCTGACTTTCTTAGACTCAATAATTTTGCAATGAAGTACAAACCCAATAGCTTTTACTTTCAGAATAATACTGGCCATATACTCTACTGGTGTGTTGTGCCAACTGATGTTAATAGCAGACAGCTTAAAACACACAGAAGAGCCCAAATAGGACGAGGAAATCCAGAACCAAGAAAATGTCAGCAGCAAAGGTAATCCCGGGTACTCAGCAGCCACAGTGTTTAGGTTGGGTCCTTACTGTTCAAAGTTAGTGTTTTCTATTTTCATATTTCCTCTTTTTACATTTCAATGTGATGTGTCAGAGACCCTGATCTAGCTGTACACTATTAGATTATAATTAGCATGCCCATATTGTAGACAAGATCTTGAGGCATAGTAAGATTTGAATGATTTTCTTAATGATAGGAAAATAGACACAACCACGAACTCTCAAGTTTTATTCCCTCCTTACCACACTGCGAGAAAGCAGGGGGGATAAAGAAATAAGTTCCCAAACTAATAGCTTGAAATTCAAAATACTTTTTGTTTGTGGTCTGCAGCAAATAAATACTTCACTTTCGTTTTTGGCATTTTTCCATCCTAAACTTAAAGTCCTACCATCTCTGTATTCTAATTTCTTTATAGATTTAAATGCATTTCTTTAAAACCTATTTAGCTAATCTTATAGTTACTTGGAGTGGTATCCTGATGTGGTGCTGTGTAGGATAAGCACTGGACTGCTAACTTCAAGGTCGGCGGTTCAAACTCACCAGCCACTCCTTGGAAACCCTATACAGGGTCGCTATGAGTCAGAACCAACTCAGCGGTACTTAATAGCTACCCAAGTTTACCAAAGTAAACTGATTTCCATTTTATAAGCACAGTAGCAAAAACATATCTCATGTACCAAGCCACTTGAATAAACTGAATAAATGCCCTGGATTTGTCCACTTTGTAGATTGAGTTTCTTTACCAGCAAACCATTTGGTACTTTATTTGGATCTATTTCCAGGATCACATAGATATCTCACCACACAAGACTCGAGAAGTCCACGTAACAATCGCGATGAATCACCAGTGTTATCACACGCGATTGTAGAGCCTCCTCCATGTTACACAAAGATGAAAGATTTGAGTCGTGGTATTTGTAAAGGACTTCTTTGTGTGATTCTTTTTTTCTTAAAAATATTGTGTTTGGGGTGAAAGTTTGCACTGTAAACTAGTTTCTCATTTAGCACTTTCTACACATATTGTTCAGTGACAGTTTTCACAATGTATCAGCCTTCTCTTTATTTTCCTTCTGTTTCCACTGATCTAGCTACACCTCCTCATCCTTGGTCAAGGGTAAATGTTTGCCATTTGGTTTCGTTTAGGCGATTATTTAGAGGAACACAGTCCTCACCCAACCAAACCTATTACTGCCAAGTCGATTCCACTGGGAGTAACTAGAACAGAGGTGAACTGCCCCCCAGAGCCCCAGGGCTGTGAATCTTTACAGAAGCAGACGATATTATCTTTTCTACCATGGAGCACGGGTAGGTTCAAACTACCAACTTTTTGGTTAGCAATCGAGCATTTTAATCACTGCACCATCAGGGCCCTTAAGCTCTCACAGGTGTTATTATTTTATGATTCAATCTGTCACTTAGCTGAAAAGTGACTTCCAGGAGTGTTTTGAGTTCCAAGTTTAGAGGGTATCCCAAACCCCAGTAGTCTCAGGGGTTCCTCTGAGTCCAGGGCTGGTGAACGCCAGCCCACAGGCCTTAGAAGGTCCAGCCCTCGAAATCATTTTGTAAGGCCTTGCCAAGGCAGCTGTAGTTCCAGCCATCACGTTGTTGTTTCTGAGTGCCATCATTTCCGACTCACAGCTATCTCCTGTAGGGTTTCCGAGGAGCGGCTTGTGGGTTTGAACCACCGACTTAGCAGTTAAAACCAACCTTGCAGTCCAGTGCATTATCCTACAGCACTACACCAGGACTCAAATCACCACATTGTTGTTGTTGAGTGCCATCGAGTTGGTTCTGACCCATAGTGACCCTGTATAGAGTTTCCGAGGAGTGACTGGTAGGTTTGAACTGCTGAGTTTGTGGTTCAAACTGACCTTGCGATGGGTGAGTTAGTTAAGTGTTTGACCAAATGTGGTGGTGGTGGTGTGCCGTGGAGTCGGTTCTAACTCATAGCAACCCTGTGTATGGTTTCCGAGGCTGGAAATCTTTATGGGAGCAGAAAGCCTTATCTTTTTTCCTGTGGAGCAGCTGTTAATTTTGAACTGCTGACTGTGGGATTAGCAGCCCAACTCGTAACCATATGTTAGCAGAGCTCCTTTGACCAAATGTAGCAGGCTACTTTTTAGGTTAATAATTTTGTGTGGCCTGTGAATGATGTTATAAATTTTAGCAGAAAAAAGGCTCCTCCTCCCTGCTCTAGTCTCTACTGGTCCAGTAAATCTGGCCTAAAGGACTGTCTAACAGTGTAATCCCTACACAGCCTCACTGCTTCCAGACAGTGACACTCTGTGGTTCTCTTACGGGTGGTGTTGGATGTGATCAGAAGCCCAGGTGGCATGTTAAAGCTCTCAGCTGCTAACTGGAAGGTCAGCAGTTAGACCTGCAGCCACTCGACAGCGGACTCCCTACGAGGCAGTTCTCTGTCCTGTAGAGTTGCTAAGTGTCCTAGTCAACTCAGTGGCGCTATGTTCTAGACCTTAAGTCACCAGTGGGACCTAAAAAGAACCTTTCACGTCACCTATATGTTCATTGGTGACCCTGGCTATGGCAGCTGGGGTCTGCATGGACCATCATCCTCACTTTCACTAGCAAATATTTAGTTCATTCACTGCTCACCTGTCCATGACCCAGTGGCAGAACTAAAGAAGGAAGATGCTGGGATTTCCTTGGTTAATACAGATGTGGCAGTTCATACCTTCCTGCATCAGCTGACATTTCTAAGTGAACTACAGGAGCTTTGTTGTAATTGGAGAGAATTTTGGAAAGGATTTTAAAATTTATTGCCAAATCATATTTGAGAGCACCTTTTTAGTGGTAGGATAGAACATTTCTCTTTGCACAACATCTTGCGGTAGGATAGAGACCACCACATGTAGCTATGCCTTTTATATTTTTAGCTTTTGAGCATTGTTTAGGTTTCTAACCAAGTATTAATCACAAACTAGATTGGCTTTTCAAATAGGCAGAATGTAATTTAATAAGACTTCCAGCAGGGGGCTCTGAACTTCACGTTTTATAAGGTTTTTTGTTTTGTTTTGTTTTTTTAACTTTTTATCGTAAATTGAGTGAGGGTTTACAGAACAAATCCATTTTCCATTCAACAATGCATACACATTTTGTTTCGTGTCGTTGATTTTAGTCTCCACAGTGTAACATCGGAGTCCTGGTGTGGCTCTGTGGGATGAAGCACTAGACCACAATGTTGGTTTGAGTCACAAGGTTGACATTTCAAACTCACCAGCCACTCCTTGGAAACTCTATGCAGGGTCTCTCTGAGTCAGAACCGGCTTGGCACTTTAACAACAACAATGTAACATTCCTTATCCCACTGCTCCCGGTGTTTCAACCATTTCATCTCTCGTTCTTTCCTAACCCTTCCTGGCTGCTGAATTTTGTCCTCGGGATAAATGCTGACTTTTTTACCTTGACTGGTTGATTGTTCTAAGGACTGGGTACCTCCCTGGCATTATAGTTCACTTTCCGATTGTTTGGCTTAGAATTGAAACGCAGGGGGTGAGTTCAGTTCCAAGCCTGAAGGGTGACCAAGGGGTTCCACCAGTTTCTATCGGCCAGTAAGCCTGGTCTTTTGTTTGATTTTTAAAGTTTGTTCTACGTTTTTCTCCCACTGTCTGCAGGACCTTCTACTGTGACCCCTTTGAGAGCAGTCTAGGGTGGTAGCCAGGTAATCTAACTCAGTCATCTAGTTCTAGTCTCAGGGTCATGGAAGCTGAGGGGTAGATGGCCCAGGGTCATGGAAGCTGAGGGGTAGATGGCCCATGACCCTTTGGACTCATTGTTTCTTTGTGTATTTGGTTTTATCCACTAGTATTTGCTACAGTGGAGGAGAGAGTAATAGTTGCACCTTAGATGTCTGCTCACAGTCACTACTCACCAAAGTAGGATGGAGGACATTTTCTTTGTGGACTGTATTGTGCCAGTTGACCCTAGTATCACCCCAACTGCTCATTCCCTCAAGGTGTTCGGTTATGACTCAGAAGTTTTCATAACTTTGCCCCCGTATGACTCTGACCGTAATTAAACCTGAATTTATTTGCATGACAGAAATTGACTCTTATGAATTTTACAAATTGGAGTTTCTTCTGATGAGCATATTTTCCTGATTAGATTTTAGAGTAGCTGTATCACACACACACACATACACGGGAGCTTCAGAAAGTTCATGGAAAACTTCTTTTATCTTTTCATTTTGAATCCCCCTCATGTGTATATGTGTGTGTGTGTGTGTGTGTGTGTGTGTGTGTGTGTGTGTGTAAAACTAAATGCTTCAGTGTTCCTGATGGCACAAATGGTAATGCAATTGGCTATTAACCAAAAGGTTAGCGGTTCAAACCTAACAAGAAGTTCTTTGGAGAAAGACCTGATCTGATGTCTACTCCAAAAGATCACAGTCACGAAAACCCTGTGGAGCACCATTCTACTGGCCACCATAGGGTGGTCTCCATGACTTGGGGGCCAACTGTACAACCGCCACCAAGTAAGCGCCTGATTACCATAGGTTATGAACTGTAAAAATAAAGGAAACTGTCTATACGTGAAAACAAAAAACCACCACCACGGCGCTGTGTTTCCAGCCTTACAGAGGCATCAGAGTACATTGGTGTTCTCTCTGTGCAGCCTAAATTGTTCGTTAAATCAAGCAGTTGATTTGTATGACTTGGTTATAAAGAATATCTTGAGTGAACTGCCAGGATTGATAGAGTTCCTTGTACAAAAGCAGAAAACCAGAGGAAAATAAATACCAATGTCTTTATTTTGTGTTCCAGCAATGAAATCTACATTGCCCCTTCAGGAGTGCAGAAGGAACGAATTCAGGTACGGTAAAGGGATGCTTCTTAAACCCAATGCCATTTTTCTTTATTTAATGCTCATTTGTGAAATGGAATTAATTTTACAATATAATTAAAAGAAAATGTTGGTTTTAAAGGATGGTCATAGTGTGATAATATAAATACCTAATCACTAAGCACTTATTGAGTAAATTAATTTTTGTGTCTGATAAGTATTCTCCATGCAACCAAAATCTGTTTTGTAATCTCATTCTACCAGTAGAGGGCAAAAGAGAGTAGCTTATTCGTGGTTGTAATAAATGATTGCAACTTGGCACAGTTGTAGCATCGACTAGTGAGGTCATTAGACTGACGGTATCAAATCGACTCAAATATCAAGTACATCTTCCTACCATTCTAACCTCCGACTGACTTATTTAATAATAACAAAGTTAGTCCAAAGTTATGAAACTATTACAAAGTTTTGAAAAGATCCATTTAAGTTACTGCTGTAATAATGACCCAACCTAATTAGAAAAATATACTCACTGGTGGCAGTGGTGTGTGGTGGAATTGGTTCTGACTCAAAGCGACCCTGCCTAGGGTTTCCGAGGCTGTAAATGTTTACTGGAACAGAAAGTCTCATCTTTCTCCGTTGGAACAGCTAGTAGTTTTGAACTACACATAGTGCTTCACTTATAAATAAAGCAAGGAAAGTTGCTTCATTAATGAAACATTTATATTGCAGTTTCTGTTAAAAAAATTTCCTGGCAATGAAAGTTAACAGTTACAAATATGCATGTATCACTAAGAGAAAAAAATCTACAAATCTAAATAATTCCGTAGAGCTTTAGGAAAAGCATAGCTGACTGAGATTAGTCTTTCTGAGTGCCAGTCAAATTTCAGTTCCTCAAAGAATAATAAAGTTTTACTCTATGCTGTTTCTTTAATTTTATGACATGTGAAGAAGTAATTTTAATAGACCCATCCGGGGATGCTGGTTTCTTCACACTCTCGGTCTGAAATCCCCAGTCACAAAGTTAGAGGGCAGAGTTAATAAGCTAAATGGATACTGAACTGATGAGAGCATAACACCACTGCATGCATGTTAATTTTCCTTATTTTTTTCTTCAAATTCCAAAGAAATAATATTTTTTAATTCTTGAGATTATTTTTAATAAATGGTTGAAATGTTTTGAGAAATTATGAATACTGTTTGTATACATATACATAAATACACACGTTTTTGTTAAATGACATTGAGTCGGTTCTGACTCATAGCAACCCTGTATAGGGTACCCTTTCCAAGTAGCGACTAGTGAGTTTGAACCACTAAAGTTGTGGTTCAAACTGATCTTGCATTCCAGTGCTTATCCTTCAGTGCCACACAAGGACTCCATATATATTTATAAGTGTGTGTGTATATCTATATCTATATATCAGTATACAATATAACATAATTTCATATACTGTCACAATAGAAAACTAGTGCACAAGGGGTTTTAGAAGTTTGCAGAATTCATAATATGCACATTATTTGTGTTAAAATATGGTATGTACTAGAAAGGCGGCATTTATAATTCTGTGTAAGCCTTCTTTTATTCTCTCCCCCCCCCATAAGTAGCCTGAAGACATGTTTGTTTGTGACATAAATGAACGGGACATAAGTGGACCTCCACCATATAAGAAGCTAAAAAAAAGCCAGTGTACTCCTCTTTTTATGAATGCTTACACCATGAGAGGTATGTAGAAAATGGATTCAACATAAAGAGGATTTGCTAAGTTCTTGTTGTTAAGTTTGGTCGAGTCAGTTTGATTCCCACTCATAGTGACCCTGCATAAAGTTTCCAAGGAGTGCCAGTGGGCTTGAACTGCCACCTTATGATTCAATTCAATCTTGCAGTCCAGTGCTTATCCTATAGCGCCGCACCAGGTCTCCATTTGCCAA